CAAGAGTTGCTGCCTCTTATAAATGCAACAGAGGTGAACCCGCGAAAGCCGCCCGAAGGCACAGCCCCCTTCCCCTATCCATGTAACATTCAATCAAGTGTTTCATTCCGCATTAAAAACTTTGTGGATCCACTCACCAAGAACAAAATCGAGGCTAATCGGTGAAGGTGTCCTCTGCACGTAGGTCGGTGGTGCTGGAGCATTAGTTCTTAGCGGCGGATTGAGACTGACTACAGAAGACGTCGGTGTCCAGGAGTCGCCTAGAGATGTAGCAGCGGCGTTTTGTGGAACTGGAGTACTAGAAGTGGAGACCTCCTGAAGGTCATCCACCTCTCCATTGCATGGAACCACAAGTGGTGTTGGCTTGGATGTGTACCGTAGAGCAGCAGAAGAGGAATTGATAAGTTTGGAGCCTGGAAGATCCCATTTGAATTTGGCAAGGAGCTGAAATCACAAAAAAGCGTTGAAAGAACAAATGCCTCGCGTAATGAGTGTTTCTGACCTTGAAAGACTTGCTTGACAAGTAGTTAAAATTCATAAGTATTGATTATTCAAATGCATGACAATTTGACACATCAACGCGCCTTCATCTACCACGAGGTGGGGTTGGTTAGCTTCCATCTTTAAAAAGCCAAATTTATACTTCGCTTACTCAAAAAGTTGTAGACACGACGAAATTTTCACTCGGGAACTACTCACACAAACTGTGACTTTAATTACCAATGGCAGCGATCTCGAAAAAAGGAGAAGCAAATTATAAACCACATCAGTCATTAAATACTTGCAGAGAGACAAACTCAAGAAATAGATGCAATGGACTACTAAAATCCACACCTCCGCGAATAAACTGAAGACACCTTCAAAAGCAGTTAAAGGCGGAGTACAGTGGGATGCTGCTAATGTCATTGTTGCGCTTGACATTGACGGTGCTTTGAAAGATTTTCACTGGGATAATGTAAATGCTAAAAGAGACTCAGTATGAATGCGGAAAAAAAAAGTCTTCGCTCAACCAGTTAAGCCTCAATCACTCCACTTTGTGTCTCTCCCTGGATTCCCAAGGGTTTGGACCAATTTGGTGGTGGTCATTTGGTTGTCAATTACTGGTGCTAAAAAAAGCTAATTTCTTCCAATTTCCCCAAATACTGCATAGAAAGAGGAAGGGATGAAGAGGAGACGGTGGAGGTAGAAAAAATGGGAAGGATTTGAGGAAGTAACAACTTCTCTGCCGCTGACCCGCACTTTCTTACACACTTCCTCTCCCTCCCCATCCTTGCATCTGAGCCTTCTCATTCGCATTGCCAAGACTTCCGTCTGCACGAATAAAACACACACACAC